CTTATTGGCCATAATTGTGTCACATGTCAGCCACCTGGAAAGAAGCATGAAAAATATAGACTTTAAGTTAGGTGTATTGCAACCTTGAACAAAATTTGGGTTGTCTTGCAAGGAAGAATGGCTATTGGGTTGACTGCCACAAAAACATTTTTTAAAATAGAACCTAGAAAACGTTTAACTCCTGGGCTCTTTGAAAAGAGTGAGAAAATAAATGATTTATTTAAGATTTTGAATAAAACTCCTTTTCAGGCTCATGCTTAGGCTAAAGGTATTACCTGCCCTCCTACCAGAGGGCAGTTGGACATAGTTCAGCATGAACTGGCTTGAGTGGCTCTTACAGACCTGGGAGGTCAGATTCCTGGCTGTGCTGAAGGATGCCTGAAAGGTCCAGGAAGGATTGAAGGCCTTCAAAGGGATTTAACAGTGATGCAAGTGTGCTCATTTTTGTATTTTGTACCTGATTTCAACAATAAGAAATTCGATTGTGAAATAAGCCAGTTGCATTCACAAAAACATAGTTCAAATAGACAAGAAACTTCTTTTCAAAATCCAAACCATAACTTACACCTCCAAAAAGCAATTAAAAGTGACATGTTTCATATGATCCAGAAACCTTTCCTGCATTCCTTGCTCTCTTTGCCCCTATTCATTCATACCCATTGTTGTATCTTACAAAAGTTTCAGTTCATAATGGACTGGAACTTTTTTTTTTTACAGCACCCCATACTGCAGAGAGTTTGGAAAGGCCAGCTCTAGTATAAATTTTGCATCTTGAAGACCTAGGTTTAATCCAGTGGAGAAAGACAGTCTTCCTAGGGCCAGTTTTCTCATTACTTGGTGGGGTGGAGAGGGAGGAGAGGATGTGGCAATTTACAGTATAGTAATCATGATACAATCATACAGTGAGGGTATAAATATAACTATTGTCATCAAGGGTGGAGGAGAGGGGCTTACCTAGTTTTCTTTGGCTTCCTTTACCATCATCCCAGGTTTTCAATGTTACACCCACCTCTTCTTTCCTTGGGCCTCCAGGGGAGGAAGTAGGTAATGGTCAATTGACCAAAAGTAATATGGAGCAATAAATCAGAAGTACTGGGATGCTATAGCTCCCTAGGCAGCTTTGTGTGACATCAAACAGCAGGATTGGGTAAGGGAGCACTGGCTCCCCCAGGATTCAACATAAATTATGACAGGTGAATATTCATTAAATAGAGAATTGATGGCTCTCTAAAAGAAACTGCCTATAAGTCAGGCTTTGTTGAGTTGACACCCTTCCTCTGTTGTGGAATATAGTAGTATCTCAGGTATTTGTGTGGCAGGATTACAAAAATAAAGTTAAGTAGAAAGAAGACAAAGACAATCATAATTGTAAAATTGTACTTTTAAAAAACTGTAGCTTTGGGACACAAAGTTATCCAAGGGTACAGGCCTTCTTTTTTCCCTCCCAGGAAGCTCAATTCAAAATTTCTAAGAGTTTTAAAAGATACAGTAGCTTATAAATTGGGACTGTGCTTTTTGACTGTAAATTGAGCCCACACTTTTCTTGATATACAGTGTCCACAGGCTTCCAGGCTCAAGGACCAAGCTTCAAACTTCGTATTTCTAAGCTTCATATCTCTCAGTTCAAACACATACAAGTGGTTTGCATTCTAATCTAGCCCAGTAATAGGTAACTTGGCAGACCTCAGGAATACACATCTCAGGTCATCTGTTTTGAGGACACCCCAAGACCACATAAAAACCCCCAACCTGGACCTTAATCTGGCCCACCCCTTGGGTACCCTCGCTCCTTTCTGAGTGTGGACCTTCTGGTCTATACCTGTTACTGATGTGCCCCAAAATGTTTTTCTGTAACAAACCATGAACTTATTCTATGGCTGACAGCAATGTGAGGTCTCATCTGCTCTCTGGGGAGATCTCCTTGGATCCCATCCTGTGGCATCCAAACTCCTCCTAAAGCTCACAGACTCCTGGAATGGCTCCAGATTAGGCTGAGCAACAGTTAGCTGTTGCTGCTTAGGAACACCCAACACCTCAGAGGCATTAAACTACCAACACTTGTTACTTCGCAAAAGCCTGGGGGTGGAGTGGAACTGGCTGATCAACACTGGCATCACTAATGTTTCTAAGGGTTCCGAGGAGCCTCTTCTCTAGCTGAGCTTAACTGGCGCATCTCAGCTGGAACAGATTTGCTCCAATGTCACTCATTGTATATACTTCTCAGGTAAATGGCAGGGGTCCCTGAGAGCAGGCTATACCACTCAGGCCTCCTGAGACCTAGGTTTAGGTACATTCCTCAGCTCATCACCTCATTCTTCTGACCAAAGAAAATCACATGGCCAAATTCAGACTAAAAGACAGAGGGAGAAACCATAAAACTATGTGGCAAAGGATGTGGGCATAGGGCAGATAAATATTGGAGCCATTAATGGGATCTCCAAAATGCTGTGGTTAACTTTTTGTGTCAACTTGACTGGGCCAGAAGATACTCTGCTAGCTCTTAAAACATTAGTTTTGGAGTGTGTGGGGTTGATTTCCAAAGATATTAGCATTTGATTTGGTGAACTTAGTAAGCATGTTTCTCTCTATGTCCCTCAGTATGAGTGTGCGTCAGTCACCCATTGAGGGTATGGGCAGAACAAAGGGCAGAGGAAGTCTGAATTCTCACTCTGCCTAGTTGCTGGAGTAGACCATTAGTCTGCTACCCTGGGAACTTCTGGTTCTTGGCCTTCAGACTTGACCTATGGTCTACACCATTGGCACTCAAGCTCTGCAACTTCTGAACTGCACCACCAGCTGTCCTGGCTCTCTGTCTTGTAGCCAGCATTTTGTGGGACCTCTTAGCCTCCATAATCACATGAGCCAATTCCTGACATCTCCTGGTTGTTACTATTTCTTTGAAGAACTCTGAGTCCTTGACTGCAAGAGAAAGAAGTCTAACAACTGATGATATCTACATACAGTGAAACTTTCTTCAAACAAAACCATAAAAATAAGGAAAAGCAAGAGGAGAAGAAATAGACAATTTAGAAAGCAAAGAATGGGAGGAAAAGGGATGAATACAGCAGTGATGGTGATGGTAAAAATGACAAAATCAAGGAGAGATCATCATGTCCAGCAAGGGTGTGGCAGCAAGAGATTAGACACTGAATAGTGCACCAGATAAAAGCAGGTACCTTGAGAGGGGCAGTAATGAAAATCTGATATGAAGGGATGAACCCAAAACCCAGTATGGGGGTGGGGCTGGAAGAGGAAACTGGACAACTCAGTCTTAAGAGGAAAGTTTATTGTTGTGAAAGCCTATATTAAAAACAAAAACAGAGCAAGCTCAAATTTTGTCAGCTATTCCTCAGAGGACCAACACCTAGAATATATAAAGAATTAAAAAAATCAGACCCCCCCCCAAATTTTAAGACCCAATAAGAAAATGGGCATCTGAAATGAACAGACATTTCTCATATGAAGAAGTACAAACAGCAAATAGATCAAAAAAATGTTCAACATTATTGGTCATTTGGGAAATGCAAATGAAAACAGTACTGAGATTCCATCTCCAGAAAGAATGACCATCACCAAGAAATCAATCAATAACAAATGCTGGTGAGGCTGTGGGGAGAAAGGAACCCTTCTCTACAGCTGGTGAGAGTGTAAATTGGTACAACCACTACGAAAATCAGTATAGATATTCCTCTAAAAACTAAAGCTACAGGTTCCATATGACCCAGCTATTCCCCTTCTGGTATCTTCCTGAAAAAGTTAAAGTCATCATACCATAGTGATACATGCATATCCATATTTCTAGCAGCACAATTTATAATAGCTAAATCTTGGAAACAGCCTATATGCCCATCAACAGATGAATGGATAAATAAAATGTGGTATTTATATACATGCTAATAAAAATATAAATAAAAATTTAAAATCAGCATGATACTGGCACAAAAATATGCATCTATGGAACAGATGAGAGAAACAACCCCAGGTGAATTTATTCATCTGATCTTTGACAAAGAACCAAAAGCTTACACTGAAAGAAAAATAGATTGTTTAACAGTGGTACTGGGAAAAGTGGTCATACACATGTTTAAGATTGAATCTAGACCTATGTCTCTCACCATGCACTAAAGTGAAATCACAATGGATCAAATACATGGATTTTAAAACAAATAATCTGCTGGAAGATAAAATAGGTAAAACTCTGGAAGACATAGGCATAGGTAAGCACTTTTTGAATAGGACTTCAATTACAGAAGAAATAACATGAAGAATCAAAATGGGATCATATCAAATTAAAAACTTCTGCACAGCAAACAAAACAGCCAACAGAGTGAAGAGACAACCTACATTTTTGCCAGCTGCTACTTTGGACAGAGGACTAACATCAAGAATATATAAACAACTGAAAAAATTAGACCCCAAAAGTAAGATTCCCAATCAAAAAATGTGCAACTGAAATGAATAAACACTTCTCAAAGGGAGTACAAATGGCCAGTAAATACATTTTAAAAAGCTCAACATCACTAGCCATTAAAGAAATGCAAATTAAAACAACTCAGATTCAATCTTACTCCAAGAGGAATGGCCATCAGCAAGAAATCAAATAATAACAAATGCTGGTGAGGTTATGGGGAAAAAGGAACTCTTCTATATTGCTGGTGTGAATCAACAACCACTATGAAAATCAGCATGTAGATTCCTCAAAAAGTAAAACTAGAAATACCATTTGATCCAGTTATTCTTCTTCTAGATATCTTCCTAAAAGAGTTAAAGACATCATAGAACAGTGACACGTGCATATCCACGTTTATAGCACCACAACTTGTAATAGCTATATCTTAAAAGTAGGCTATGTGTCCATAACAGATGAGTTGTTAAAAAAAAATGTGGTATTTATACACAATAGAGTACTTTAAGGAAGGATAAATTTGAGTCATTTGTCAGAAAATGGGCTCATTGAGGCCACAGTACTAAGTGAAATAAATCAGACACATGTGCTGAAATATTGCATGGCATCCTTTATATGAGAAACCCAAAGTATGAATAATTTAAAGAGCAAAATAGAGGACAGATAATAGGAATCAGAGATCTTTTGTAAATGAGAAAAGGATCTAGAGTTGGAGGAAGCGGGCAGGAAAGGATAGAAAGGGGAAATAAAAAGAATTAAGATGTGTATACGTACCAGCTCCCCACAATGAATGTAATCACTATGTACTGCAACATGTACTAAAAAAGCAAAATTAACTTTAAAAAATGAGAAGACCACAGAGCTGTACCTGACACAAACAGGAATTGTGACAAGGACAATGAAGTCACAGGAAAAAAAATCTTTCTAATCTGTTTTAAATAGAAAGATTTTTACCTTTAAAAACACAGGGTTTTGGCTTTCCTTGAAAGTGGAAGTTCCACAAGGCAGGGGGAAATTTTCCACATGGTTCTGCCATCTTGAGGAACCAAGGTGTAGCCACTCACTGCTCTCTGAACTCACTGGGTTGAACCCCTTGCCAAGAAGGTGCTTTACCCTGTACTAGTCTTGTAGCACAATCTATTTCTCCAGCCTCAGAAAGGTTTCTGAAGTCCTCTGAACATCTGTACAGTGGTCCGCCAACACCATAAGTTGAACATAACAAAATCAAAACTAACAATACCTTCCTCCTCCGTGAAATACACTCTTCTCCAATGATCACCTCCTTTGTGCCAGCGAGAAACCCACTCACCACTCTGACTTTTCTTTCCCTAATATATCAAAAAATAAAAATTCATAATAAAACTACAGACCAAAAGTACAGGTTATATAGGAAGTAACATAAGAAAGAATGCCCAAGACCTTTTCAGGAAGTTTTAAAAGTACACCGAGGCAAGGGGCTAGGTGCGTAGCTCCGTGGTAAAGCAGTTGTCTAGCATGTGTGAGGCTCTGGATTCCATCCCCAGCACTGTAAGAAAACTAAACCAAAACAAAAAAATATAACAAAGTTCTAAAATAAAGATATTGGTATCGGTACAGTTTTATGTTAATTCTACCCCCAATAAATCTACACATTCAATGTGGTCTTCATAAAAATTCCATTGGATTGTTTGAGGAACTAAGCAAACTTACTCTAAAATTTATAGGGAAAAATAGAAGTTCATGATGATTATGTCAATTTTGACTCCTTCCCTCTCCCATGTTGCTGGGGATCAAATCCAGGGCCTGGCTCATGCTAAATACATTGTACAATGGACTTACATCCCTAACTGCATTAAGAGAGATTTGAAAAGGAAAAACAGAGAGGAGACTTGCCATAACAGTTATTAAAACACTACAGCTCCTATGCTTCCCCAGGGTGTAGGTGTGGGGCCATGGATAACCCTGTCAGCCTGGAGGAATGGAATGATTTAGTGATGCTTTGTAGAAGTTTTCTAATTCTGTAATTTTCTGTGGTTCCTAGAATTTACTAAGAGATGGAGGAACCTCAGAAAAAAGATCTGAATACAATGTGTCTTGCCAAAAATGTCACTCTCAAAAGCCGCAGCCCTAAGATTTCTACTACTGAATTTCTTGCCATTACTTTTCTGACTACGTGGCATTGCCTAGATTGATGGTAGATCTCTTCCAAAGCAATAGTGTCCAGATGCTGAGATGCAAAGAAAAATTGGAAGGTTTCTCAAAGTCAGTATTTTCCTCAAGGATACTATTGAAAAATCCCATTAGAATGAGACTCGAGGACATTCATCAGAAAAATGACAGAATCCAAAGCCTTTGAAGCATTTCAAATATACAGGAATGATCAGATTCCCTTTGGTCCCAACACAGGCCAAGGGAACCAGCAGAGAGAAGGAGATCTTTTTCCAGAGTGCCCATGGCTGTCACTGTGCAGCAGTGGTCTTGCTTGTGTAGAAGTGGAGCAGCTGCAAATCTTAGCATGACCCAAGTCCACAAGGTCAAGTGGATGGCATAAGTTATTCTTGGGTTGGAGCAGCTGGGCCCTTGGGCCAGCAGTTTTTGTCTGAAAGAGTAAGTAGGTTTTATTTTTAACTTGGCCAGAGGTAGAATTTTCAAGAATGACTCATAGTATGGAAAACAGCAGCTACAAAAGAGCCATTCTCATGGGGCTAGACCATGCCAAAGCACTAGGTATGAAGCACCCCCAAAATCTCTGGGAATATAAGGCTGGGAACCCAGGACCACTCCTGCTGTATGCCCTCAAAAGGTCCCTGGCCTGGGCCTGCTGTACCTGTATCTGTCTGACTACACAGACACCTTCTGCCCTTTCTCCACCAGACCTGCCTCTGGAAGAAGACAGGTATGGGCATGACATCACCACCAAGCTTCTGGACTCGAGCAAGTCTATATGGAAGCTTCGGAGAGAATTCCTGTCACATACTCCTTCCTTCCATGCTGTCTGATTGCTGAATCTTCGTGGAGTTGACAGGACACTGCAGTTTCTCATCATCAATATACCATGATGAATTATTCTCATTTTGGAGGATCTGGTCAAAGAGTGAACTGAAGACTATACCTCAAAGCCTGTACAGCCACTTTTGGAAGGTGTGAACACAAGGACCATGTTTTGGCCCCCATTTCTCAGTTGCTTTGTAACTGTCTTTGGGGCCCTTTACTTTAATCCAATTATTAACACTGATCTTGTGGAAGTCCAAGAGCTGGAAACCCAGGTATTGTGACTGGGGCTACCCAGGCTCTGACAAATTCTTCAATCTCTGACATCTAAACTCTATTGTTTAAAAGAGGTGTGCGTGGGGGTTGTCTTCCCATTTTCTAATCAAGGTAAAACTATAAGTCAGGTTTTGGAAATAGGGTCAAGACTTTGTCATAAGCGTAGCCATTTATTTGTTAAAAAAAAAAAAGGAAAAATCCAAAATTCAATCCACAATTCCTTCTTGCTGAAGAGTTGCTATGTTTCAGAGTAAAAGCTTTAGATGAATTCATTGTGCGATTGGAATGATTAGATTTTATTTGGGGGTTTGCTTTTTGTTAATTTTTTTAAAGGAATTTAATCAGTATAATACATTTCAGGAAGGTCCTTTTGTTTAACGAAACATTTTGTAAATTGACCTCATGATGTAAAATGTTTTATCTTTACTGTCTTGTTCTAATGTATAAAGCAGCAAATGTGCTTCGCCAAGTGTTGTAATTATACATATGGAATGAAATGACTAATGGCCTTTTCTTTCCACTGTGAACATGGCAGGTGTGAAGATAAGATTGTGTCTGAAGTGTGTTCTGTGACTTAATGAAATCATTCATTAACCATTTGTGTGTGTGTGTGTGTGTGTGTGTATTGCTGGGATTGAATCCAGGTAATCACACAGGCTAACACATGTTCTATCACTGAGCTATATCCTCAGCCCAACCCTTTATATCTTTGAGTAAAGATTTCACTCAAACTTTGCATCTGAAAGTTTGAAGAAATTACTTGAAATTAACTTTTTTTCAGTACTGAGGATTGAATCTAGGGCCCTCATTTACACTTAACAATTGCTCTGCCACTGAACTACATCCCTGCCCCATTTATATTTTTTGAGGCAGAGTCTAGCTAACTTGTCCACGCTGCCCTCAGAATTGTGATTCTCCTGCTTCAGCCTCCCAAACTGGGATTTCAGGTGTGTACTACCAAGCCTTGGTGAAAAGAAATATTTGTATGCAGATTTTAAAAAGACATCCCACAGAAACAAAGTGATGATAATACAATGGTTCTGGTTTGGGAACAGACTGAAAGACAAATGGAAAATAGAGACCTCGAAAATAAACCCATATATAGAAATGGGAACCTGACAGATGATAATGGTAGTCTCGAAAAGCAATACAAAGAACATGGTGTTAAGGTAATTGAGTTCTGTCTGAACCCCCCCCCCCATGGAGTATAGAATGAAGTGTGAAAGTTCAAATTATAAGGTTTATAGAAAAATATGACTCTGTATGGGGAAAGGCTTCATGAATAAAATTTGAAAGACTAAACTAAATGGTAGAAAATGAAGATGGATTTGGTTACATAAAAATTTCTGATAAATAAAGTACATCATGGACAAAGCTAACATATAAATGACAGACTGGGAGAAGATACCTGCAACATCTCAAACTGGGAGATAATACTGGGTTTATACAAAGAATTGAAAAATAATAATCAAGAAATGGCCCAAAAGATATTATAAGAAATTCACAGAAGTGTGAGTAGCCCTTCCATTATACATATATTTCAACAAATGTATGAAATCTTCTATAAATCAGAAAAGTACAAATTTGAAAGAACAATCTCATTAGATTCGTAATGGCAAAAAGTAAAAGAATTGGTTCATATCAAGTGTTGGAGAGGATGTGGGAAAATATATTACAAAACAAAATCACACCCTAAAGGGTTGGCATGGAACTTGCCCACTATATTAATTATCTCTTAAATGTGAAAACTAGGTGTGGCAAGATTGCTATTCACCTGCCTAGCATCCATTTGCTCTTCCTCCTTACTAGCAGACTTGTAGAAATATAGATTTTATTATTCAGGTAGGGTGAAGCCACCAGATACCGTCATGGAAAAGACAGCTTATTACTCACTAATTATTCAAGAGGAAGAGGCACACCATGCTACACAGAGCCATGTGGGAAAGCACCGAAGTCCTCAGGAAGCAGAAGGAAAAACATAGTTAATAAAAGTAGCCACTAAACTAGGACACCAAACAGGATTCTTATGTTTAGCTATTTTCAGCAACTATGTGTGGGCGCTTGGTATAACAGGCCTTGTGCTCTAGAGTGAGAGGGAAGAACCAGGCTAACAGAACTGATGGCCTCTGAAAAATCTCAGGCTCCGCACTGTGAGGTCAAGATCTAATTGTAATAGGCCTTGGAGAAGGGAGGAATTGTTTGAAGAAAAACCCTAATCGGTTTAACAAGTGGTGAAACAGGCCGGGGATTTAGGCCAGTGGTTCCGGCGGCTGCTTCGCAAGCGCAAGGTCCCGAGTTCAACCCTTGGTACAAAAATAAATAAGTGGTGAAACAACGCTAAGGTTCACACAAACGAAAACCCAAATAAATCCACCAGTCCAGAGCGTTTTTCTCTTCTGTTCTACAGAAATATGGCCCCGTACTTTCCCACCAGGAATGGTCCTGTCTGCAACTCAGTCTTGTCGAACTTGCTTTCTTTTCTAGGGGGATTCTAAAGTCATGTAATCAACTAGTTCACTAAACAAGCACAGCAAACTAAACACTATGTTCCAGTTCTGGTTTATCATTACCTGTAACACTAGCAAATCATTTCTGGGAGATTCATCTGGAAAATAAGGCACTAAGAATCATAGTCCATCCGAAAACCTTTCTCAAATAAGGTCCGCAACTGCAAACTCGTAGGACCAGTAGATGTGATCCTCCACCGCAACAAAGCACCGGCAGCCATTTTTCCTGAAAACTCCCCACACCCCTTAGTACCGCCCAGACCTCCCCCAGACAGGTAGTGCGCATGTACACTGCAGACCCTTCCGGCTTTCCGTAGCTTCCTTTCCAGTTTTGGGCCCGTCCCCTATCGGCACGGCGTTTCCGGTCCAATCCGGGAGCTCCCCGAGCGTTTGTGTCTATTAGTGCTCAGTCCCTTCTGCTTCTCCAGCGCTTCTCTGGCTGTCTCAGTCGCTGGCGAAAGTGTTGCCCATTCACTGCCGTTTTCCGCAGATCGGAAAGGGGCCGTCTTTTGCGCCCTTGCTCGTTGCCCGCGGTCCTCGGCCACAGGCGACGAGTTTCAGGGCGTCATGGCCAGGGGCCGCCGCGGCCGGCCGTGCGGGAGGCCGCTTTCTGCCGCCCGCGCGCTCCTGTGGCCTCTGGGCCCGCCGGCGCCCGTCTCGGTCTGAGCACAGTCTCTCCGCGCCCGCGGCCTTCTTGCGCGGGACCTCATGGCCTCCGAGGCGCCGTCCCCGCCGCCGTCGCCCTCACGGTCACTGTCGCCGCCTACCTCCCCAGAACCTGAACTGGCCCAGCTGAGGCGGAAGGTCGAGAAGTTGGAACGCGAGTTGCGGAGTTGCAAGCGGCAGGTGCGGGAGATTGAGAAGCTGCTGCATCATACGGAGCGGTTGTATCAGAGCGCCGAGAGCAACAACCAGGAGCTTCGCACGCAGGTGCGCAGTCCGCCCTGCCCGGGACGAGGCTCTGATGGCCTTGGAAAGGCTGCTTGGCTGGGGTTCACCACGGCTTTACAGAGTCTTTGAAATAAATAAAACCTCAAAGCAGTTATAGTTAAGTCACATATGGAGTAGACCTAAGACTTACGGGTCTTTGATTTGGATGAGTGTCTTACAGCTGCCCTAAGTTGAACTCCGGTATTTTGGGCACATGGTCTTCATTCTCATTTGTCCCAACGACCCACTGCCAGTAGGAACATTTGTAATACTTTTTTAGATTATGTTTGAGTTTGTTAAAGGTCTGAATTTGAATCAAAAGCTCACCTTTGCCTCTCATGAGATGTGTAAACTTAGACTGGGCCTGAGTTGCCCATAAAATCATTTGAAGTGATTATTCTGGGCGTTCATTATCTTGAGTTTTCTTTTTCTTTTTTTGTTTTTGGTACCGGGGATCGAACTTGGGACCTTGCATTTGCAAGGCGGGCTCTTGAACCACTGAGCTAAATCCCCAGCCCTGTCTTGAGTTTTCTTGTGGAAGGAGGGAGGTAGAGCCTTCCTCGTTAGACACATAAACGTCTTATATCATTTTGATAATGTGCAGTAAGGACAGATATTAAAACAGCAGTTCAGAAAACAATTACTCTAACTCGAGCTGTTGGGCAGCTGCACTCTCCTAACAAGTTTATTTCCAAGTACTTAATTTAAGAGTAACTTTTCTAGTCCTTCATAGCTAATTCATTCATTTCCTAAAACTACATATATAGGCAGAACACTAAAACACCGAACTTCGTCATACTCTTGCTGAGCTACAAAAACAGCTGTTGATTCGAAATGATTTCTGTGCCCATTGTATATAATAATTGACCTTATGACATAGAAAAGTTTTTTGTTTTTCTCAACAGCAATTTTTTTAACTTCTACAATACATAGGAACTGTGCTAGGAAAATACAAATATAAAAATATGGGAGGAGAGCCTGAAATAAAACCTTTTTATAATTATATATTGTTAAAATATTGCTTGCCTAAGAGACCCTAACATTTTTTGCTAACTTTCCAAGAGCCAGTATTTTCATTGTTAGGGTAACAATAGTGGTTGGCCATCAAAAACGGAAATACAAGCCAGGCATGGTAATGCACGCCTGTAATCCCAGTACTGTGGGAGTCCCAGGCAGGAGGATCGTAAATTCAAGCCCAGCCAAGACCCCATCTCAAAATAAAGAGCTGGGAATGTAGCTCAGTGTGAAGGGGCTGGGTTCAATCCCTAGTACAAAAAAACAAAACAAAACAAAGAAAAACAGCTTGGATAAAGTGGCTGGAACTTGTAGTCTCAGCTACTCAAAGCAGAGGCAGGGTATGCTTGAGCCTTGGAGTTTGCGGCTAACTTGGGCAACATGTAGAGACCTTGTATAGAAAAAAAAATAGAAGCTAGAGACACAGCTTAGTGGTAGAATGTTGGCCTAACCATGCAAGAGGCTCTAAATTTATTTCCCAGCACTGGAGAGGTGATGGTGGTCTTTACTGCTGATAGTGATTGCTTTCCTGGTCAGCCTTCCCTGCTGGGAGAGTGGGTGTATTACTGAATGTATTCTGTTTAGAGCACTTGAGAATTGAAAGAAATGAACTGTGAACTAATAGCCATAATATCTACAGTTTTGGAGGTCAAAAAACCTGTGCAAGTTACTTTGTTGATTCAGATATTTCATATGTAAAATGGGCATTAGGACAAATACATAATTTGTAAGGTGCTTGTGTGAATTAAGATGTCATCACATGCACCACTATCATGCCTAGTGTGCAATAGATGCTAAGTAATGGAGTTCATTGTAAAATGAATGGTGGTAGCCAGAGCCAGGACTAGGGCAAGATGGTCAGTTTCCTAAGGATGAGAAACTTCAGGGCACACTTACTCAGGTATGGACTCTGTACTTGCATTAATTTGTGAGTGCAAGTTTTTTACTCTAGGTACCTTCTCACCTATCAAGTCTTAGTGATAGGAGCAGATCTGATAACTGTATATGATCAGTCTTATCCCTTCTCAGTGTAAGCTTATGTATCATTAAAAAGAAATATTGACAAGCCTGTTTTTAGTCAGTTTCATGCATCTAGCAGATGCTGTTGCACACTGAGATCCTGTCAGACTAGGGTGAATTGACTGAGGCGGGTCGTCTGATTCCCGGAGCATCCACACTCTTGTTCTGACCTCCTCAGTGTATGAGGCTCATGGAGGACAGTTGCCCTTCTTAGACAGTTGTGTTCTTTGTTCCCTTCTGTATTTAATCATAAAACTGCTATTAAAAGAAAAAATATGCATGTTGAATTGTAGAAATGGTAATAATATATTTAGGTGAATAGTTAAATCCAGGTAGAAGGCACTGAGTGATATTAGACAATTCAGTGCACATGGACATTTATAGCTTTAAAATTTTTTAATCTTTTAGAACTGCTGATTTTAAATATTAGCACAAAAGCATTCTTTGGGGGATGGTCATGGGGTGGCAGTAAGGATTAAACCCAGGGCCTCTTTGCACGCTAGGCAAGCGCTCTACTACTAAACTCTGTACCCAGCTCAAAACATTACTATTTGTTGGAAATGAAAGGTCCTCTTCACAAAGTTCCATTAATTCAGTCGGTCTCATTTTGGGGGAGGATATTTGGGTGTTTAGCCAGAGAGCTTAAGAGTAAAAACATTTGTGAGCCTGACATGATGGCATGTACCTCTGGTCCCAGCACTCAAGAGGCCCAGGAGGTCAAGACTAGCCAGGGCAATGTAATGAACTCTGTCTCTTCCACTCCCTCCCCCCTGAATTCTCTGAAAATTAACTGTAAGAGTTGGAATTATTTTTAGTTTTTAGCTATTCATGGCACATCTCTAAAACTTATGTTTTCAGTATGAGGACTTTACCCATGGGAGCTCCACCACTGATATGTATCCCCAGTGTTATTTTATTTTTATTTATGTTTTTTTTTTTACTTTTTGAGACACAGTCTTGCTAAGTTGCCCAGGTCATTCTTGAACTTGAGATTCTCCTGCCTCAGCCTCCATGAGTAGCTGGGATTACAGGCATTCACCGTGGCCAGCCCATAGCTCTCAAACTTTTACCAAGAAAAATAATTTTGTGTTGTGATATCAAGAGAATGTGTATTATATTGCTTTATGATTTATTTTTCCTAAAGCCTTCTTTTCTTTCAGGTGGAAGAACTCAGTAAAATACTTCACTGTGGGAGAAGTGAAGATAATAAAAAGTCTGATGTAGAAGTACAAACAGAAAACCATGCTTCTTGGTCAAGTTCAGGTATTCACTTTACAGTGAAAATATTCAAATTGTTTGGTGTTTTCTTTGAATTTTAAATACAAAATGATCTACATAAGTGAAAATAATTACTCCTCTCCTTTTGTATTTTCAAATAATCAGTTTGCCCTTCTGGAAAAAAAGAACTGTATTATCATTCTTGTAATTTCTGTAATGTTGCTAATGTGTTTTCAGTGGTTCACTCACTGAACAATTTTTTTGAGTCAGGGCTCACTATGTTTTGCCCAGCCTGGTCACAAAGTCTGGGCCTAAGTGAGCCACCCACCTGGGACGACAAGTGCATACTGCTATCCCCAGGTCACTTAATAAATTTTACTGTGTAGTAAACCTACTTTTCCTATGTGGCCTCTCTCTGACCAGGGCAGTGTTTTCTTTTTCTTTTTTTTTTTTTGGTACCGGAGATCGAAAGGGCAAAGTTTTCTTGTTGATGTGTGCAGTTCCAGGCTCTTAGGTCTTGTGGGCATGGCGAGTCCTCCACCACAGCCTCAACAGCAGCATTGTATTACATGGAAAAATAAGGGAGCCAGTGAGGGTTAGTAAATGTGGATCACCAGAAACAGGAATCTTTTCCGTTATGTGTTGACTGGGTTCACTCAGATACAGTTTAGCAAAAGGGCTAGCATATCTGTATAATAAGCTTTTTAAGCAGTCAGCATCACAAGATAAATTTGAGACCCTGGTCCCCTGTGTTTTTTGTCATTTGATAAGCATCAATGTTAGGTATGCAGTTAGAAGTTGTTAAAGAGTTGTCAGGTTTTTGTTTTTGACAGAAGACAACCAATCTATGTATTTTCTTTTTTACTCTTACTGTGGAAAGTCCAAATCTGCTTACTTTTTTACCTTGGTAGCTGGGATACTGAGACATTAGCATCAGAGATAAACATTTTTGCAAATTTATTTTCACTATCAATTTAAATATTTTAAAATATGTACAGTTGTAAAAATCATGTTTATTTTCAGTATGAACTGTGCTCAATGCCAGTGTTTTAGAATTAAGACCCTTATACATATACTAATTGAATCAATTTGTTTTGGCACAGATTATTATCATCAGACATATTATAATGATGATTGTCCTCCAAATA